GCGGTGTCTCACCGTCAACGGATCTCAGGGTATCCGACTGCTGCGAGGTCGCAGTGGTTCTCAAACTTTGATAGCGAGAGCCATCTCCATCCATCTCCGAAACATTTGTGGTGTTCTCGGAATGCGATAAAGAAGGGGTGTCGGCATGCAGCCGAGAGAACGTTTTGATAGTTTCTCGGGGGCTTGCGACAGCGAGACCAGGGGCAGAATCGCTCGAGGCGACCGCTCCGCTGGTGCGTTCTGACGTGCGTTCGACGGAGCTACTAACTCCTATCGAGTGCGTGTGTGAGGCATCGATCAAACTCGTAGAGTGAGAGCCAACACTATCCACATTCGGCACATATCCGCGCTCGGAATGGGATGCAGCCGGGCTGGCGTCGGAATAATTCAAACTCTGAGGTTCAAACATGCCGACAGCGACAGCTGGGCTACCAGGGGCAGGAGTACTAGACTCGACCGCGCCACTGGGGGCGTCCGACACGCGCACAATGGAGCTGTGAGCTTCATTCGTGTGCGTGCGTGAGGCTTCAATCAAACTCGGAGAGCGAGAGCCTTCACCATCCAATTTCGGCACATTGCTGTGTTCGGAATTGGATGCGGGGTGTGAGTGTGCGCGTTGAACCACCGAGCGCATCTGCATTTCTGCAGGTGTCTCAAGGCGGTGTGCCACATCTGATGACCAGCGGCGAGCTGAATCACGAGAGGGCACAGACCTGGAGCGCGGCGCGCGACCAAGGCCTTCAGTGTGCGATCGAGCAACATCATCTTCCTGAGGGTCTACGTCTGCTAACGTGCGTCCGAACTGCGATCGCGATCGTGGCTGCTGCTGCTGCTGAAAAGTCCGACCGCGAACATGCAAGGAGGCACTCGGCGAATCCTCATCAACACGGAGCGAGCTACGCGACGCATTCGAACCATCATCATCAGGAGTGTTGTGCGGCGACAAAGGGAACGGGGTCGAAGCAGCAAAGTCGCTGCTACCTCGCGGCTCATCAGGAGCCGACATGCTGAAGCAGGGCCAAGGCTGTTGCCCTGCCGCTATTCAGCAGACTGCAAAAAAGCGAAAAAATCAAAATCAATTGAACGCAAGAATCAAGCAACACGACCAAAACCAACAACGCCAGTGTAATGGTATTTGACCCCTTCCTTCAGAATCAATCACCTTTGAGCTGTGTGGAACTCTCTTGTCCGATCACAGTAGCAGGTTGTTGTTGCTTTCCGTTGTTCTCTTTCTCTTGATTAACGCTTTCCAAGCCAACTCACAATATCCCATGCACACGCGATCATAGATCACCTGTACGCACACACTGAACAGAAGGGCACATGTCTCGGCATAAAGCCCTGATCTAGCACGACGTCACGTCATAGCATCCGACGGCGCCAAATAACCATGATCAACCACTATCACATGTCTACCTCCAAATACCATAACAGTATACATTATGTACATAACGATGGAGGAGGCCGACAAGCAAGGTACGAAGAGAGGGAATTGCACCCCACGTTCGAAGTTCGAGGTCGGTGTGAAAACCACGGCAATAAAGGAGTGCGAAGGAAAAGAAAAAGAAAAAGGAGACGTCGACGTTTGCGTCGTGGAACGATCCTTCCGTATAACGCAGGTACTCACCAATGCAAGATGGGGAGGTAAAATATCCATCGCGAAAGTCAAAGCGCAGGCCATAACCGCATATGACTCATGCGAGGAGAAGTTACCACGGAGATTTTTATCAACAAGAAGTTTGAAGGCCGGCTGAGAAGGTTTGAAAAGACACAAATACTTGAGCGACGATGGCAAGCGCAACGTCAATACTTCACAAGAAGAAAAGTGCATACAAAAAAGAAAAGGCCGGATGCCGACCCATGGCTCTCTCGGAATGAAGGGACTCCCACAATTTCCAACAGATAATCCACAAGTACGGACATATGAAGTTACTGGGTAGAGAGAGATCGGAAAGATTTTTAATGTGAAGACACAATAACAACAATAATGATGAAGGTCGACCCGTCCTGCGTCGTTCGGTGGAAAATGATAAAAGCGAAAGATGGACTGCGTAAAGATCCAGCGGTCTTTTTCGGCAGTGACAAAGAAATATGCAACCACATGTCGCAAAAAATAAAAACGTTGAGCGGGATACCGTAGGACACAGAACACCGCCTTCTCTGTTGCTGCAGGCAGGTTTGCTTCCACAACCCGGGAACCCAACCCACTCTTGTATTTCGGCCTACAAGACTCCAATCGACGCAAGCACCGGTAGGAGAGTGCGTGGCAGATGCCGTACAGCACAACTCCACTCTCCTACGACATCTATGTACAGTAGTAGTACTGCTGTCGTTGTAGCACCATGTGGAAGATCTCCGAGGGGTCCTCCTGCGCGGTAACGACAACATGGCGAGAGTTCTACGTGTACCTGTCGTCGACACATGTGGCAGCCGCGCGACACACGAACGGATGTTTGCATCGCACTGTACTATGGTTCGCCGTGACAGGAAGTAAGTCTCCCATCCAGTTAGGTCGTTGCCGTAGTACGCGGACGTCGTTCGGCGTCTAGTCCATACTGCTGTAGCAAAAACAAGGGGGAACACAGTGACCCGTGTCCCTTGCAAAATATCATTGCTGTAACCAAATTCTTCTAATCTCGGATCCCAAATGACGTCAAATGACCCAGTGAATTTCTTCTAAAACTTAGACCCAATGACGTCACATGACCAGGTGAGAATACAACACCTCGACGGCCTCCAAATCTGCAGTTGAGCCCATGGTCGGGAAGCCCCTTTCGCACATTCCCAGTTTGATCCCTACCGCAAGCCTCCCATTGTGTTCGGAGCAGCCGGCATTCGGATCCCTGCCGTGGTACCACATATATAGCCCCTCCGATAGGACTTGAGGCACAGCGGGAAGGCTGTATCGGGTTTCGTGCTAAGGTGCTCTCCCATATTGACCTCGTGGCTGACACACATCGTCTTCGCTGCTGATCGCTGTACATCCAGGTGGGTAATTTCTACGCGTTGTATCCTTCGCCACTCCGTAACATGTCCACACCACTGCTCCACACGGAGAGACCAACTGCTACTCGCTGCTGCTGCTGACCTTCATGACGGATGCTCTACGACGTGATTACGACATGGTTGCGACAAGATATCTCGACAAACCGCTTTGAGGAACACCAGGGAAGTTGACAACAACCACCACATTGATGTAAATCATTTGAAAACTTTCCATGCTCTACTGATGGTGTTTACCAACACCCAACATAACAAGAAACAAGCTAACATGATACAACCTGAATGCTATGCCCTACCTACCATGCACCAGATATACCATTCTCATCTACTGCTGTATAAACATCACTGATACGTTACCCCAAAGGATCAAAAAAAGATTCAAAAAAACGGCGGGAAACACCTGCTGTCCGTGAAATTAAAAAATCTGTAGATTTGAAAAACGAGTGATGTAGGGTTGGTGATGTACTGCGGTAGACTTCGTTCCACCTTCCATGATTTTTACAATATTATTCCTAATATGTCTAATAAACCAGCAAGCTGTCAATAGACACTGCGCCGTGTCCCCTGTGAAGGTTACATTTAACAATACACGACACAACGGAGGGATTCTCCCCGATATTTTGTCGTTGACCCAGTAGAGAACTAGAGGGGATGTATTGTACAATGTAAGTTACCTATACAGATGTTTTTGTACTTAGCACCAGCTGGCATCACTGGTATAAATCATCAGTGTATAGACTTAAAAAGACTCGAAATAAGTCCAGTACCCAGCCGGTTTCCCTCCACTCACTGAAAAGACTCCACCACATCCCGTTCGACTGTGGGTATATCTCGAATGGGTAGTCTTTCTGTGTGTGTTTTTATCATTCCTTAAAGACACAGCAGTAATCGAGCTATGCATGCAATTTTTTGCTCTGGTTCACTTTTGCCTCCACAACCCGAGAATGTCACGGCTGTATCTCGACCTACAAGACTCCCACCAACAAACCAGCACTGGCAGAAGTGCGTGGAAGATGCTGTGACAGCACAACTAAGTGGACACTCGTACGACTTCTATGTGCAGTCGGCGTCTAGTCCATACCGCTGTAGAAATACAAAAATCGAGCCATTTTTGTGTTTTTTCTCCATGCTAATAACAAGAAATGTATTACGTCACGACGACTATCCTGTGAGTATAGACTTAACTACAATTATGTCGGAGGCCTGAGACGCAAGAGTTCAACCATTGTTGCACTCTAAAAGCAATAGAAGGTTTTTTCGAAGAGCAGATAGAATATACTGGTGCTTATTTTGTAACAGGCGAATTAGAATTTGGCTTCATTTTCTATCGGAAACCCAGGGTCACGGTGTTTGGATTTATTATTGTAGTCTATAGCTGGGGATGTCATTCCGTGATCAAGTCCACGCAGGGGCTGTAGCAAAGTCGGGTAACGTGTGAGAGCTACAGAGCGCGTGAAGCAACGGAAGGACAGCAGCAGCCGCCTAACGCAGTAGCGGCGGCAGTTTAGAAAAGGGACGGGACGGGACGCGGCGCAAGCATTGGGGAAGCGACCAGCGCGCGCTCGGGACCCTCCATATAAGGTGTGTAATCGGGTCTGTGTCCAACATCCATCGTGTCTGCCGTGTTCCTTCCCGCGTCCCGCTACTCTTGTGACCTCACCGCTGCGTGCAATAGCACGGGGGGGGGAGGGTGCAGAAAGATAAGCGGCGTACCGCAGTCTCTCTCGCCACGCCGTTCAGATAGGTACCCTCCCACACATGGGATGTGGTTCATCCCAACCGAGATGTGCTATCGCTGAAAAAATATTTCAATGGAGAAAACGCGCTGCTGTATCAGCGGAGACGATGACAGCGGTGGCAGCAGTGGGGATGCGAGTGGAGACGAGGGCAGCGGTAGTGACAGTACAAAATCGGCAAAAACGCGGGCAGGTAGGTCCCCGCACATCGACCTCGTTCAAGCCAAAGAGGAAGAGGACCGTGAGATCATCAGGGCGAACATGGACGCCCAACGCGAGATCGCCAAAAAGAAGAAAAAGGACCGGCCGATCCCGGATACTCGCTATCTGACGAGGAACGATGTCATTGAAGCTGTTAGAGCCATCAAAGCGGAGAAGGAAATTGATAGCGTTATCATGCAGAAGATGGAGAAAGAGGATCCACGTCTCTACGGAATTACGGCAGACCCGGTGAGCGGCACACTGGTCAACCTCGACGGCAAGAAGGGGAGGGTCGTGGCAGCAAGGAGGGATGTCGACGGGTATCTGAAATACTGTGTCGAGTTGGAAGGCAAACACCGCAAGACCAAGGGGATCGCCAAAAATGTCAACACCCGTCAACTTCTCGAGGCTGCCGGGGGCGAGGGGGTCGTCCGGTGGGAAAAGGAGGTGGATCGGGTGACCACGGTTTTCTGTGCTATTCTCTCCCTCGTGTACGTCCCTGTCTACAAGTTCGTCACCATCGTCCCAAGGGTGAAGCGAAAAGTGAAGCCGGTCGATTTGAAAGGGGAAGATGGAAAGGAAGCTGTCGAGCTTCGCGAGTTTGCGTGGGAAAAGATTAAGGGTGCGCCTGCTACGCATGTGGTCAATGACCACGAAAAAAAACTGCTCGCCTCGGACGAAGGGTTAGAGCAGGAGCTTTGTGAAAAGGGAACTCTTGCAAGAGTTTTGGGCATCAACCTCGACGCGTATTCCGGGCTTGTGCATGAGCCAAGGGATTACGCGAAACAGCACTACAGCACCGTAGACCACTACGTCAAAGGAGCTCAGGCTGCGTACAAGCTGGGTCGAGTGATGAGCTTCCAGTCCTGCATGGCTCCGTTGTCCGTGGGTGGCGTCCACGACGAGCTTCCGCCGGGAGTTAGACTTGCGCACGAGGAGCAGAGGAAGATTACGCTGCCGATCACGAAGAAGGAGGCTAGTGAGGCGGGGTATGGGTTGGCCACGCGGGCTCTGGTGTCGAGGGCCCGGGTCTCCGACGAACTGTGTCAATGGTACGCGTCTGCGCCACTGTACACGGTAATGTTGTTCAGCCGCCCCGAGAGAGACAAGAAGTCGATCAAGCTGACTACAGAGAATGAAGTGAAGGACTTGATGGCTTTGTTTGGACTCTCCTAAATAGATTTGCCTGTCGCATCCCGTGCATATGATCTGCAAGCATAGCTACCCAAGTAGCCTCGTCGCTAATCCACGCTTGTTTCCGCTTGTTCCCGCTTGTTTCTGCCTGTTCTGCCTGTTCTGCTTGTTTCTGCTTGTTTTCGTCGTACACACGCCTGGTATTTTGGCGTATGACAGGGTCAGTCCCACGAGAAAGCATATTGTTGCCTTCAACAAAGCGATGGAGTTAAGTAGAACTAGAAGAGCGGATCTAGAGGTTGTCGTCCTGTGGTACAAACAGTACGAGTTCGTAGCCAAAGAGAAGAAAAGGCTGTCTGTTATCTGGGGAAACAAGAGGGTGCGGATGGGCTACGGCCCAAAGGTTAAAGGTGGGAGGACGCACAAGTCGGGCAACAATGAAGCTATACTCTTCATGCGGAAGATGCTGAAAGTGAATAGTGTAAATCCTGTCATGGACGTAGTGAGTGACGAGGATAAGGAGGCGTGTTACCGGGTGTTGGAAGCGGACTCAGATGCAATCGGGGAGCACGCGGACGAAGCACACCTGTACCCGGAGGCTGAGCGGGATAGCATAGATGGCATAGCGAAAAAGCTGAAAAAGATCACGCTGAAGCAGTGGTCAATGTTCAGCTGCGCCCTGAACATACTGGACGCAACGTCAGCGCCGTGTCTGCGCCCACAAGACATATTGGGGTGCAAGGCAAGAGACTTCCACATCCTCATGGGTCTACTTCGCGCCATCCTTCGAGCGGGTTGCAAGAATGGCGAAGAGTTGGCGCGGAGCGAGTATGGGCTTGCTGTCAACCACACCAAGAGTTCGAACTGCAAAGGTGAGAGAGTTTGTGTGCCTGTTTGTCTGTTTCCGCGGCATTTTGGTGTGCTGACATTGTGAGAGAATATGTACAATAATACCTGAACCTGAAACCACTCTCTCTGTTCTCGCTCACTTTGTTTGTCTTAAATCGAAAGGCCCATACGCGGTCATGCTCGTGGTCGGGCGTCGATTGATTCGAGATCTGCTGAAAACGAAACTGAGCCAAGCAATCGCCAAGCTCGAGAGGTCGGGGTAATCAGGTGATACTATTGCTAAAGAGCAAAAGAAGTACGCCATCGACCTTGAAGAGAACATGGGCCCTATTACTGATTACGGCAAGACCTACAGTAGGACACGTTGTACTGTATGTACCGGTATGTGGGGACGTACTTGCTTGGTTTGCCAGCTTTTGGTCCCAATATTTTGCGGTCAATGCATGTCACGGCTGTTTTGACCAAGGCTGTCAAAGAGGGAAAGAAGCACGATGACCCTGAAGTTGTGAACCTTTTTTCTCTGGCTAGACATGGCATCTTTGAGCGCGAGAAAACCTACAACATGGTGAAGCGCGAATTGCAAGTGGCTGATGGGGATACGTTTTAAGGTCAGAATCATGGACTAGCCCAAACATATGGAGAGGGCGATGAATCCGTGACCGCCGGCGATCAGGACGATTTTCCAAATTTGTTCGAACGAGAAGCAGGATTTGGGGAGACAAATGGCGCGAAGCAGATTGCAAGTATCACAAAAATGATGCAGCCTTCGATGGAGGCATTTTTCGGACCCAAGGGTGTAGATGGGTTTTTCCGACAGTTTTGGGGGGGTATGAAACGTATGCGTACATGCCCTGATGCATCGGATGAAGATCATGATCCGGAGTTTGATGTGAGGTACATGAAACGCTTGAAAGAGCTTAAAAAGAAAATTCACCGTAAAAAGATAAAGGAGGAAATCGCGGAATGTGAGCGTACACTAGATGGTTTTAGAGATGGTGGTGTGAGTAGGGTCTCCAAACAGCCCACCGGAGAGAAAAGACCCGTGGGAGAAGTTGTGTCCGAACGCCAGTCGAAAGAATCGAATATTGTCAGGAGCAGGATGAAGAGGAGCACCGAGTCGACTGATGCAGCCAAGTTGGAAGTTTTGAGAGAGATGCATGCGCTTTACACGTCGGCAGTGGGAAAGGAGTGTACATTTCCAAAAGGCGTGGAATTTTCTCCCAAGTTGCGCACTATGCTTCAGCACGACGACCCGCAGAAGGATTTGAAGACAAAGCTGAGGAGGCAGAAGAATGAGAGAGCACTTTGCGTAGACAATATCGTAGAGTTTCTCAAAGGAACTGATTCGGAGATCTGAGATCGATTTTACCAGGCCTTTGGTGGTAAAGGTGACAATGTAGAGCGGTTGGTCACAAGGGTCAACAAGGGCAACGAAACTCCACAGTTTGTGTGGACGAGTGCTGTCTTGAGCAAGTGCGGGGAGGAAGAGTGCAAGTACTGTGTGAGTAAAATAAGAGGGATGTTGGTCGATTGATAGGTTAGAAATTACAAAGAAGGAATGAACTGGAAGTTCTGCACCAAATGCGTTCCCTCTCTACCGCCAAACACATGGCACCCGCGCCTCGCGATGCACGTCCCGCGGGACACGTGTGGCCGCGCACATGAAATCACACACGGCGCGCCCTTTGGCCCCGTTCTCGCCGAAAATAGTGTTCGGGTAACAGTGGTAAAAAAACACGCGCGCCCAAGTCACTCAAATTTAAATCTCCACAGCGAGCAAAAATGACAACTCTCGCAAAAGATGCGCGAAAAAAGTAAAAGAAGGTTTGGTCAGGGATGCACTTTCTTTGCGCCTTGGGGGAGCGATCGAATGGCCAACACCATCGGGATCAATTGACGTCTTTACGGAAGATGAGGTGATCGAGGTGACAGTATGTTCGGTCGTCATGTAGTACCCCATGTTTTCAGTCGCCGCCCTGTAAACCATCTTTCTGGTCCCCTCCGGACGCCTAGAACACGACACCCGAAGGTCTACGAGCACAGCTGAAGGAGGGGGGATAAAATCATTTGTAGGGGAGAGGCGGTGTTTTCTTGACGGAGCCGTCGGTCGGTGTGTGACACAAATATTTTCTGGTAGTTTGGTTGCTGTCGGCAGTGTGACACCTTTGAAATTGAAAACGGGCACAGGCGGCGCACACATCACCTGCGATCTTCACAACACACAGAACACACACACACACAGCACACGCAGCACCCAACACATGTTGTGTGTGGTAGATGGAAGCAAGACGCCCTAGCGCTGCTGCTGCTGCTGCTGTTCGCGGTAGCCGTGGCAGCAGCAGCAGTGTATCAGCAGTAGTGTATCAGCAGCTGCTACGATGTAGCGGCGGAGAGAAGCGGCTTGGTAATGACGGTCAGACGTGGACAAACCAAAAGGCACAACGATCAGAGAGCTTGGCATACTGACGCAGTGGCGCTGCCTGCTGTCGGCAGTGTGACACCTGTGAAATTGAAAACGGGCACAAGCGGCGCACACATCACCTGCGATCTTCGCAACACACATCACACACAGCACATGCAGCACCCAACACATAGGGTGTGTAGTAGACGGAAGAAACACAGCCTAGTGTTGCTGCTGCTGCCGCTGCTGCTGCTGCCGCTGCTGCTGTCCGCGGTAACCGTAGCAGCAGTGCGGCAGCAGCAGCAGCAACAGCAAGGAGAACCAAAATTATTGCGAAAACCCACCGCAATTCCCCGAACGGTTACTTGAAGCGGGTAGATCAGATTGATCGGCACGCGCCACCCGCAGGCGTGCGCACCCCCGCTAATTTCCGCGAGAGAGGAGAGAGGGAAGAGAGCTCCAAACAAGCAGCGGCCGCAACAACAGCAGCAGCAGCAGCAGCCGCGACAGCCTCGCCGGGAAGTCGAGACACGGCCGCCGGGCACCGCGAAAGGTGAGCTGCACGACGTGTGTATGGAGGGTACGGATTTGCTTTTTGGGGCGGTTTTCGGGAATTTGAGTGGAGCCCAGCTCATTCCACGTGAGACCCATGTTATGGTCGCCAAATCATTGCGAGAATGTTTATATTTTCAAACATTTGCGGATAAAGATTTTGTTTCACTGTTTATGTGCGAGCAAATCTTCGGCAAACTATTCTCAAACATTTTGAAATGGGGCAAAAGTCGCTCGTTTGACAAAATATTCTCAAACATTCTGAAATGGGGCGGGTCGCGAATATGTTTCCCAAGAGCGGCGAGATTAGTAGCCGACCGCCCGTTCCGTCCTAATTACCAATCACTGCGCAGTGCACACTCAACGTAGCAAGCTCATAGAGGGATCCGGACAACCCTAGAGTCACCGTGTCAATGTTTTGCCGGCTGATACATGGCGGGAGCTCGTCAAGCGTGCACAAAAAAACAAACAGACAGGGGTGGTTTGGAGGGCACGGAGAAGCGTGGTTTGTGTCTCCGAACGGCGAAAAGTCGGCTGCTTGAGAGGTGAGGTGAGTACAAAACTATCCAGCTCTCGTCCTCTAGACCATCGATTCATGTTTTGTCTTCTTGGGTGTCTTCTGCGTCAACGGCTCTCATCCGGGTGTGCGTGGTTCAGCAGTGGGCGTACTCAACAGGCAGGGAGGCGCGTCGCTGTGAACTCGATGGGTTGACAAAGTCTTTTTGGGACGGAGGAACAATCCCTCTATATTCAAGTGAAAAAATAGACCGAAAAAAACGGTGTCCACAACTTTGCGCGCACAACGATGTGCCTCCCTGCCGGCTGAGCGCGCCCACTGCCAACCCACGCACAACCGGATGAGAGTCGTTGATGGAGAAGACACCCAAGAAGACAAAACATGAATCGATGATCTAGAGGACGAGAGCTGGATAGTTTTTTACTCGCGTGTCCTCTCAAGCGGCCGACTTTTCGCCGTTGGGAAGCGCTGACGCACGTTGTGGTCTCTTTTTGACACCGAGAACATTTTTTCTCGCACGCCCGGAGCGCTATCGCCACATATTGGCGGGCACAGCATCAGCTCAGTGCATCAAGGGTTGTGGGGAGCCCTTGGCGAGCTCGTTACATTCAGTTTCCATGACGCATTTGTGGTTTGTCTGTCACAAACCGTTTGGTAGCAGTAGACCACGATTCCCCGCCACAGGGGCGATGCATTTCGAGAAAACCACACGATAAAGAGTTTTTTGCTTATCTGTCTCAGACTCTTTTCTATGATAGAGATGAGCTCGTTGTGGCATATTAAGAAAAAAAAAAAAAACGGTACTTCGACCCATGTTTATGGTCGCCAAATCTTTGAAAAAAGTCTTCAAATGTTGTCAAACATTTGCGCGCGAATATCTGCCAGAGGAACATTTGAGTACCGTTTTTATGGGCAAAACAATCTTTATCGTGTGGTTTCTCGAAATGCATCGCACGTGCGGCGGGAATCGTGGTCTACTGCTACCAAACGATTTGTGACAGACAAACCACAAATGCGTCATGGAAACTGATTGTAACGAACTCGCCAAGGGCTCCCCACAACCCTTGATGCACTGAGCTGATGCTGTGCCCGCCAATATGTGGCGATAGCGCTCCGGGCGTGCGAGAAAAAATGTTCTCGGTGTCAAAAAGAGACCAAAACGTGCGTCAGCGCTTCCCAACGGCGAAAAGTCGGCCGCTTGAGAGGACACGCGAGTACAAAACTATCCAGCTCTCGTCCTCTAGACCATCGATTCATGTTTTGTCTTCTTGGGTGTCTTCTCCATCAACGACTCTCATCCGGTTGTGCGTGGGTTGGCAGTGGGCGCGCTCAGCCGGCAGGGAGGCACATCGTTGTGCGCGCAAAGTTGTGGACACAACGTTTTTTTCGGTCTATTTTTTCACTTGAATATAGAGGGATTGTTCCTCCGTCCCAAAAAAGACTTTGTCAACCCATCGAGTTCACAGCGACGCGCCTCCCTGCCTGTTGAGTCCACTGCTGAACCACGCACACCCGGATGAGAGCCGTTGATGGAGAAGACACCCAAGAAGACAAAACATGAATCGATGGTCTAGAGGACGAGAGCTGGATAGTTTTGTACTCACCTCTCCTCTCAAGCAGCCGACTTTTTGCCGTTTGGAGACACAAACCACGCTTCTCCGTGCCCTCCAAACCACCCCTGTCTGTTTGTTTTTTTGTGCACGCTTGACGAGCTCCCGCCATGTATCAGCCGGCAAAACATTGACACGGTGACTCTAGGGTTGTCCGGATCCCTCTATGAGCTTGCTACGTTGAGTGTGCGCTACGCAGTGGTTGGTGTTTAGGACGGAAGGGGCGGTCGGCTACTAATCTCGCCGCTCTTGGGAAATATTTTCGCGACCCGCCCCATTTCAAAATGTTTGAGAATATTTTGTCAAACGAGCGACTTTTGCCCCATTTCAAAATGTTTGAGAATAGTTTGGCGAAGATTTTCTCCCATAAACAGTGAAACAAAATCTTTGTCCGCAAATGTTTGAAAATATAAACATTTTCGCAAAGATTTGGCGACCATAAACATGGGCCTTAAATGTTCCTCTGGCAGATATTCGCGCGCAAATGTTTGACAACAAGATTTTTTTCAAAGACTTGGCGAGCATAAATATGGGTCTGAGCACGTGATGTCCACCCCACACGATGCCTGGTGGCCGAGGGCATTCGGACTCGTGGTGTGGATAGTTCCCGGCCCCCTTGTGTATTGCTGAAGCCTGGTGCACAACCGCTGCCGCCTCCCGGCCCTCCTTTGCATTTTTCCAAGGTCGTGTTTAGTACAGTACATACTGGACGTACTCGAGTATCTTACTCGAGCATTTTACTATACTCTGCCAATAGTAGGTTTAGTACAGCTTTCGAGACTGTACTAAACCAATAGTACGCTTTATTACAGCCCTCGATACTGTGCGGGGTGGAGAATCCTCACTCCGCGCAACGGGGGATGATCGCACCACGTTGTGTTAAAATGGTCAAGCTTCCTCGAGGCAGTTACACAGTGCTTACAACTGTCTCTGGAAGTGAAAGCACCAGAAAATAAATTAAGTCATACGTAGCTGTCATCCGTACGCAAGGAAGTAAGCACAAGATGCCGAACACCCTTAGCAGGATGGCAGCTCACCCTTCATGCGACTCGCCAAATACCTCACGGCGCTTCGCGCTTGGTGATGTGAGAGCCTGGTCCGGTGAGAACCCGGCATGCTCCGTCCCGGCTTTGTAGGGATGCGAGGTCAATGGTCAAACGACTACGGCATGCACGACTATGAGTACACCCCCCCCCCCCCACGTCCTGCTGCTACCTTGCACTCCAGTCTCGATACACCCCTGTACAGCACCAGCAGCACCAGCAGCACCCTCAACTACAAAATGGAGTTCCGAAGAAGAAGCGCGACATCCTCCTTCGGCCTTGCGCTGCTCGGCCTTCTCGCCTCCACCACGCCCGCGGCAGCAGCTGACACCGCTTCCCCCAACGACCCCATCTCCAAGCCCGACTGCGACTCCGACATCGAGGTCTCGATCCGGTACGCCGGCAACACGAAGCGCCTGTACCTCGAGTCGGCAGACGGCGAGACCCGCGGAGGCTGCGCTACCCTCGGGCAGGTCTGGGAGAGTCGGGCCGGCAAGGGGCCGCTGTACGCGGTGGACCCGGACTCTGGCGACGTGAGCGAGACCCAGACTGGCACGTGGCTCCTCACGGAGGAGCTGTACGTGGAGGACGGCATCACGCTCAAGGTTGGTGTCGTCGGAACTAGCGTGCTTGTTTCATGATTCCAACGATAAAAGAAATTCATCCGAAAGTTCGTCACGTCAAGAACGTGGTACATAAAAGTCCAGCCGTGCTTTTTGGTTTCGTCGGGGATACAAATATAATTACTGTCCGACGCGTTGTTTAGCACCAGTCGAGGTTGCCCTGCTCTGGCTCTTGGCTTCGCCGTTTCTGGTTCAGTCTGCGGGTGATCTGCGGGTGATAAACCGATGCATTTGCCTCAGTTTGGATGCAACGACTTCGTCGCTTTCTCTGTGAAAATTTGAATATTTCATGTACATAAATTCAACCTGTACGGCGACGTTCCTCCTGTGTCTTGTATGCATACTTGCGATCTTAATTGTTTTGTGAATTTTTTTATCTCGCATCTATTTTAGTCATTGCGGTAGCATTGCATAGAAGAATTATTCGCCCGCCGTTCTAATTATAGTTTGTTTTGAATCATCGCTTCTTCCACCGGTCAACAGGTGTACGGGACGGACGAGGGGGGAGATGCCGACGAACTCAGGTTGCTGAGCACAAGCGACACCTACATCAACCTCAGAGCATACGGTGGCAGCCTGGACTTCGTGGGCACCAAGGTAAGCAAGCAGGGCGCAGCAAGCAATATACGCTTCTACGTGGTTTCTTGCCCGCGGGAAAGGCTCCTCCCCAAACCCAAGCCTTGTTTGCCGTGTGCGGGCCGGCGTTTTCCCGTCTATTTGCTGCTGCTGCTGTTCCCCTTGCCCTACGGAAAAACTACCGGCAATCGCACCTTTTTGTATGCCCACCAGGATCCACACCAGTCGATAACCTTTTCCAATCTCGCTTCCTCCGGTCCGGTCCATTGCCATCTATTCAACCAACCCATGTACTCAGGTATTCTCGTGGGACACGAGCACCAACTCGCCGGACGTCGTCGAAACCGACGGCCGGTCATACATCAGCGCCGTCTCTGAGATCGTCACCGACGAGGACGAGTCTTGCGAGGGTCACGCCAAGAACACCATGGGGGAGGCCCGCATGGACATCGAGAACAGCGAGATCGGCTACCTGGGGTTCCAGGACAGCGAGAGCTACGGGCTCACGTGGAAGGTAGGCAATTTTGGTTGTCGTGTTTGATGGATGAATTTTAAGCGACGGGAAATGGGAAATCACTTGGCGGGTCGCGAGCCGGCTTGCACATCAAGACAGACCATGAAGAATATTTATTCTTACTTCCTACTCAACTACACAAACGAAACGCATGTTTTTGCTTTCAGCCAACGTCGTTGGGGCCATACTTCCGTCTACAGCAACGATGCCAACACTGCTGTTCCTTGATTGTTGCAACGCCGATGAACGTCCCTCCCAGGTTCGCGGGTTCTGCAAGGATAAGTCTAACCCGGAGATCTTCGACGACGTGAATGTGTACGGAAACATGTACGACAGCGACATCCACCACTTGCGCTTCGGCCTCTACACTGACGGTAAGATTCCCTCCCTTTTTTATGGAAATCGCTCGAATGGGTGACGCTAGCACCACCATTTTCCGTGGTCTGATCGCGATCTCAAAACCTTATAAAGTGCACTGCTTGTATCTTGCGGGGGTCAACAGCAGTCTAAAACTCATTCACGCCCTTCCTCTGTCCCGTCACACCGTCTGACAGGCCACCAGCAGGGAGGCCGGAGGAGGAACAAGATGCGCGACAACTCCGGATACGGTAACCTATTGATAAATCGCCTGAAAACTGGTCGGGCGCTCGCGACAAACGTGTGTGACATCGGGTCCGACATCTATGTTACTTCTGAAGAATACGCTTATCTCGAAGGGTGTTATGAATACAGTTCGGACTTGGGTAATTCTAGATACCGTCATCATTACTATGATCCAGTTTCAAATGAGGCGTTAGACATGATCATTGAGTGGGACGAGAACGATGGTGTTAACAGTAACAGAGCCCTTATACAAGACGAGAGGTTGATGTGTACGATGCCTGACTATTCAGGTGGTATCGTTTCTGGGGATGCCATTTTTGAGCCGTGTGTTGACCTAGACACTTTTGAGGACAATGGGAATGTCACTATGGAAAATTTTGAAGAGATCCCCGGGAAGAGTGTATCTGTGACGTTCACGTGTGGATGCGAACTCCCCGAGGATCTAGGATATTGTAATTTCCAGCTTTCTGGTGGTGACGACAATCTAAGGGATACCGCTTCAGCTTTCTACACAGAACCCATCGATGGTTGTTACTATGCTGAGTATGATCTCAGTAGGCATTTTATGACGGACGGGGAGTTTCCAGTAAAGTATGTATTGGACAGGGGAGAAAACCCCGTAAGCGGATTTAACTCGTATGAAGAAACAAGTCCAACTCTTGTAAAAGGATACCAGTTTCAGCCTGGAAATACCTATGTGAGTTATTACAATGGCGATTTTGACTTGAGTGAATTTTCATGGGTTTTTGATCTTGTTGGTGCGTATCACGAAAATTTGAGCTACGATGACGACAATGATCCCTTAGTCATTTACGAGAATTATGCTATGTGGTCTCCCGAGGAAAAGGATAATCCTGAGGACATTGAATCGTGGTTTGCCATGCGTAGGGACGAGGATGGTGAGGTTTTCATCGAAGACGTTAGTAATCTGGTTTCATTCCAGTGTGGGTGTTCTAGTGATGTTGATGATGAGGATGGGGTACTTGAAGGACTCACTAATGGCGCATATGTTGGATCTGGGATATTGGTGTCGGGATTAGTTGGTATTGTTACAATCTTGGCAATGATTTAAGTTGAATGATTGGAAGATTTTTAGAATGGATCATTGGGGAGTTGTAAAGATTTTTGAAACGTTCAAACCGAAACGGAACTATTCACACCTCTCCGAGTACACACTTGAAGAGCAGGCCAAATAGGAGTCCGGTCTTCATTTTAGGGAAGGTTGGAAAAGAGAAGTGAATACATGTGGGCTCATCACAAAAGTGGTTATTTTCACACTCCATATGCGGTCAGAACAGTACCGGTTCATTTTGAACGTTTCAAAAATCTCTACAACTCCCTGGAGGGCCTTTTTAAAAAACGGAAGTTTTTTGGGGGTCGCTGAAGTCTTTGAATGCTAGTTGTTAGTCAAAGGGAAAAGTATATTGTTTTTAAAAAGGACCTAAAACCATGCTAACTAAAAACTTAGAATTACATGGATTTAGGTATACTAAATACTAGTCAAAGGGAAAAGTATGTTGTTTTTAAAAAGGGTCCAAAACTGTGTTTTTTTTTATTTTTAGTTTACATGGTTTTCTATCTGGACGTAGTTTGGGACGTAGTTTGGGACGTAGTCTGTTTTCAAGTATTTATTTAAAACGCCAAATTTGGTTTGTCGGATCTTTGGATCTAATTTATCTATAATTGACTTGGTTTTACTGTATAGAAAACCATGTAAACTAAAAATTTAAATAGCACAGCTTTGGAACCTTTTAAAAAACAATACATTCGATTAAAGAAAGCACCGTATAACCCAACAACTCTGAGTACCATCCGTCTGAGTACCATCTTTCTCATCCGTCTCAATAGTATAGCTGTATTTCAACCCAGTACCAGGAGGGAGAGCATGGTTCCTCACATACTCATACACTTCCTCTTGGAAGTTAGAGCACGCAGACTTCATGATTTGACCCAGTGGAGTAGTATCCATAGCGAAGAAGATTACAAACAAGACAACACGACGAGGTCCATGGCCGTCGGAGTAGCCACGATGGATCCAAAACCACTGTCGCAACCCCAGCATATGAAACGCAGAGGTGGGATTTTCACCCCACCATTGCTACTTCCAATGTTCTTCGTCCTAGACGGCTTGCGCACTTTCTTCAAAGCCTCCCTTCTCTGCATACTTCATACAAGCTTTCAGAAATTTTATAGCTTCATCCCTCAGGATGACATTCATGCCCTCCTCCGAGTGTATGAGAGGAAGCTTGTGCCTCTTTTTCAAATAGTGAAGCCTTTCACACACTAGACGCGTAAAGCATAAAAGAGGCAACAGACCAACTGTACGTGTTGGTCCACCTCTCTCTGCAGCGAAACTTTATGTTTCCTCTTCTGCACTGATATGCACCGGTAGGTGTGGGTCATTTGAGCCTTAGGTACCAACGTAGACACGAATAGGTCTACTAATTGAATGTTGGGAAGGTTGAGTTGGGGTTCCCATGGGACGTCCCACGTGGGATCCCAATAGTGTCAGTACCTGGTTGAGTTGGAGCGAGCTCACGGCGGTAGATTTGGAGTAAAGGACTTCATCGATAAAATTAGACCATCAGACTAGTCAGCGCTGACTCAGTGGTCAGATGGTCTAATTTTATCTAATAAAAGATATGCTCAGAGCTCGTTAGCATCCGGCTGGAACACGTAGGCTTGCGGCTTAATCACTGGGTTTGAGCCGGGGGCGGACCCCTCGCCAGACGTTGCTGTTTTGCAACGGTAATTTTACGCTGAGAAAAGTGTTCCAGCCGGTATTCGAGCTCTGAGCATATCTTTTAATCGATAAAATTAGACCATCAGACTAGTCAACGTTGACTCAGTGGTCAGATGGTCTAATTTTTTCTATTAGGACTGGCACGTGTAAGCGGGAAATGGGACAATCGCAGCCGCCTGTTTCACGTTGGGGCCGCTACTGGTGTGCCATTCCAGACAAATTGGCACACTGCTATTGATTGTTTCGTCATTATCAGCGGTTGGATTCATTCATCCATCGTCAACGCACGCACATGTCGAAGTCCCTTACCCGAACGACGTAGCGACACCGTAATCCTACTGTAGTCTATTGTATGGCGTTTGGACGCCTCGAGCTCGAAGATTGTCCGGTGGGTCTCGACGTGGGCAACTCCGAAAAAAAATAAAGCGTGATTACAGTACTGTAGTCGAGGACATCGCCACGAAACAAACACGAAAACGCCTACAGGTTCTTGAACCCCAAGCACACAATTGAAACCCACATACGTCTTGTGTACTTGCAAAAGACCCTGAAAGGGAAGTTTACCTTCTCAAGACCAGGTGGTCGCACGGAAGCTCTATTGCATCAGTATCACACCCAGGGGCGGTCTGTTGCTTCGGAACACATACTTGTGACCCATCTCTCCATGTCCCGGACAACAAGCGAAAAGGGTATCCGCCTTCCTGCTTGCCACAAAACAAACCACCCAACAGTTCCACACGGTGTTGGTAAATGGAATATGCTGTACTACTGTACCATCAAACCCGAAAACAAGAGACAGCACCGACAACCAGAATACGTCGCGACATTGCAATAATAGTACACTACAATACTGAGCCTGGACACACCACGATCATCGCATACGAAGACAACAACATTCCCCAAGCAAGGGACAAACAAGGTGCTGGCAAACTTACAGAACACCGCTTGTTTCGACCATGTCCGTTTTGAACGCTGAAACCGGTAGCGAGCGCGTCCAGAGCGCTTGGGGTACGGGTTGCTCTACAGCTTGCGCCCTTGGCAACCACTCGAAATCGCACCGCAAGTCAACAATAACTCGCCTGTCTACGTTTCCACAGTACGGGACATGCACACCAAGCGTTACATATCAACCCACAACACAACGACCACCACCAACAATCACGAGGGCGATGCAATTCTACAGTAGTTGGCGGTCGACAGAAAAAATCGGCATGAAAAAGAAATGCGATCACAAGGGCGATGAAATCTAGGTGGCGTTCGCGAGAAAAAATCAATCGCGAACAACGACAATCGCACAAGTACAACAAAAGGAACCCCAGCCCCCTACAATCTGGATGCCAAGGACGAACAACCACATCAAGACAAAAGGTGAGAACAACAGTAATGCGGCCAAATCTGATAATAATTATGCTGCCGGCACAATCCGACGCACGACCGAGTTGTTGTACCCTGCCCCCCCGACAGATACATTCTTCGCACCCACTGAGAGCTCGCAAAACCAACACCTCTATACTATTCAGCAGCCGTTTTGGCCGTCCACACAATCTGCACCCAAGCGGAGTACGGCTATGTCACTCAGCAGACAGGCTCGTAGCCGGAGTCCGACTCCCCGTTAAAGCACGCGTCGTTGTCCACCTTGAGCTCGAACTCCCCGTCGTCGCGCGCGGTGTTGCCCTGCATGAGGTTCTCGGTGGCATTGTCGAACCGCACCACCAGGCCATCGGCATCGCCAATCTCGAAGACGTTGTCGAGGAACTGGGTGCCGTCGGCCTCCTTGATCTTGATCGTCTCCTCAGCGCCGGAGAAGGAGTTCTGTGAGAATACGTTGTTCTGGACCGCCCAGAAGAAACAACGTCCGTCTCATCTGACCCAAGGTACGAGTAGGCGTTGTACCTGGAAGAAGCGGAGAGAGGGGGGGGGAGTTCGGGTGAGTACAACGCTTTTTGGAACAAAATGGAGGCGGGGGGCATCGTGGGGGGTGAGTACCCCGGCAAACGAGCACCGTTGCTGTGCCATTTTCATGTGGTTCAATGCCGATATACCAGGAGGTAAAAACGGCAGAGTGGATGTCGCACGATCGGATGAAAAACGAACCCGGCTGTGCTACCGGATCTCTCTGCTCTGCCTCATATGCCCCACCTCTACAATCGAATCTTTTGGAGCACGCTATCTTGAGGGTTTGTGTCTGTTGTAAAAGAAGACCCACAACATGTACTGCTGTCCCATGTCCGCTCGATCGTCCTCTCTGCCTTCGTCACACTTACTCGGCGTTGTTGCTGATGGTGTTGTCGGAGAAGACGTTGTCGGCACAGCCCACGCTGAACCGCACGCCGTACTTGTTGTTCTCGAACGTGTTCTCGGACACATCGGCGTTGAACGACTCGAGCATCGCCAACCCTGCGTCGCCGTTCTCGTGCACGTAGTTTCCTGAGAGCAATAGAACAAAACAACGGGAGTCAGATTATCGTGTACGGTTGAAAGGAGGCGGGGGGGGGGTGGGGGGGCAGGTCAGCCACTAGGTATGGCAGACTAATCGAAAGGGGAGAAACAGCCAACGGCAGGGCCCACGCCAGCACACCCGAGCACCGCCAAGAATAAAGCAATACGACTCACCCTTGGCGATGGCGTCGTCACTGCTGCGGTGCAGGAAGATGCCCGCAGAAGTCTCGGCACCGCCGTACACTTCGTTGCCCCGGATAGACACGCCGTTGCAGCGCTTGGAGGCGATGATACCTGGATTGTCGAAGTCATCAAAGAAGGGGGAAGTGTCGCAAGAGGCGGAGGTAGGTGTAAGAAGACAAGGACCTCGAACCGTTCATTTCCCGATGACATCAACAAATCGATGGCAGCGATACCAGAGAAGAAAAATATGGCATCTCAAATGACACTTGACCGCCCACCATGTCCGTTCGCAGTCTGTTCCGGCACTAATATAGGAAACACAGAGATGAACAGCTCTATTGAATAGAGGGTGGGTATGCAAGAGGTTTGTTCGTCTTGATCGTACAGCAGTCTCACCGTGGTAGCCGTTGTTGTACACCTCGTTGTCGTGGATGGTGAGGAAGTCGCTGTCGTCGTGGGGGTCGAAGCCTGGCCGGTAGCAACATAAAAGAAGCAGGGTACAGCGGGACCAAAACAAATGAGATATGGCGAAGTAGGCGCAAAGGTGTACTACAGCATCGCCAAAACTGAAACACAAATTTTCACGAGATATACCGACCAGCTCTCAGGCGACAAAGAACTCGGTATATTAACACCAGCAGAGCTACAAGAGGACCGAAATAGGACCGAAAGACCGCCACTCGAGGGAAGAAACAAGACTTTTCGACGCAACCAAGAAGAAGTAGCTTACCGTATCCGGAGTTGTCGTGCATCTTGTTCCTCCTCCAATCTCCCTGCTGGTGGCCTGTCGGATGGCGTGACGGACAAGGAGAAGGGCGTGGATCGGTGGGGGGTCACAAGACTAGACTAGATCTGCAAGACAGAAGAAATCGCGACTACAGTAGTTGTTGAGAAATATTGACAAACCACAAACCCACTGGACCGAAAACTCACGGATACGCTGTCGGCAGCAGCCAACCACGCGAACTCGAAAACCAAATCAACGCCCCGAAGCTTACCGTAAGTGTAGAGGCCGAAGTTTATGTGGTGGATGTCGCTGTCGTACACGTTGCCGTGCATGTTCACCTCGTCGAACACTTCTGGGTTAGACTTGCCCTCGAAGAACCCGCGAACCTGGGGCGTTTCATTCGCAGTGCAACCAACCAACAACTTAGGTTAAAAGTGTTGCACCGCAGACAGCCACTCGATTCCACTGGTACGCGCCGCGAAGGACGCACGACGTGCTGTTCACATTGCTTGGTTGCAAAATCGTCACACCCGTCGCCAGCTCCCAAACGCGTGCCCTCGTACATACGTACCTACCAGAATACATCGTTCGCCGACATAGGACACGACAATCAAAACCAACCGCACCATGTAGAATCAAAAACGACACAAACCGAATCACTATGCACCTTCCAAGTGAGGCCATAGCTCTCGCTGTCCCAGTACCCGAGGTAGCCGATCTCACTGCTCTCGATGTGCATGCGGGCCGCCTCCAGTGTGTTCTTGGCGTTACACTCGCAAGTCTCGTCCTCGTCGGTGATGATCTCCGAGATGGCGCTGATGTACGACCGGCCGTCGGTCTCGTCTTCGTCCGGCGAGTTGGTGCTCGTATCCCACGAGAAGACCTTCAGTTCAGTAGAAATGGGCAAGCGGCAGAAGGGGACACGGGGAGAAAATTGTGACTATTTGCGAAAACGATGGAACGTTGGCTTAAGGTGGGAGCATAACAGGGGGGAAGAAGGGGAGGAAGGGGCAGAGTACCAGCAGAGAGCGCAAAGCAAAGAGACGGGCGAACGCACGAAACATCGGAACGGTTTTGGGAACCGCTGACCGTGACGCAAAAGGCACCCTTAGTGGACCAATCAGCTTCCACGAAAAATGAGCAACAGAGGGGGACAACGCCCCGCGCGGGCTGATTGCACACCTTGGTGCTGACGAAGTTCAGGCTCCCGCCATGCGCTCGGAGGTTGATGAACGTTTAGTTAGTGCTCAGCAGTCGGAGTTCGTCAGCGTCTCCTCCGGCCTCCGACCCATATACCTGTGGAGACGGGACTAACAGGCGTCAAAGCAATATCGAAACGTTGGGATGAGACAGGCATCGCCCCTTTCCAGCCCTCACGAGGTCCTTGTTGACGCCAGACAACACGTTGCGTGTGCTGGGATTGTGTGCCTACGCGATAAGTTCTACAGGAGAGAAAGGTTCAACAGAAGCTCGCCTACAGGTGGTCGACGATGCGCCCCCCCGATCTGTACCCGAAATGTAACAACCCGTCGGCTGTCACATGCGGCCGAACATCAACATGTACCATCTTTGAACATTGCCCATCAGTCTCGATCCGAACCTTGAGCATGATGCCATCCTCCACGTACAGCTCCTCCGTGAGAAGCCACGTGCCGGTCGCGTTGGTGCTCACGTTCCCCGAGTCAGGGTCTACCGCGTACAGCGGCCCCTTGCCGGCCCGGCTGTCCCAGATCTGCTCAAGACTCACGCAGCCGCCGCGGGTGGTGCCGTTGTCTGCCGACTCGAGATACAGGCGCGCGGTGGACTCTGCGTAGCGGATCGAGACCTCGATGTCGGAGTCGCAGTCGGGCTTGGGGGTGGGCTCGTTGGGGGAAGGGGCGTCCGCAGCTGCCGCGGTGCTGGTGGCGGCGAGGAGGCCGACCAGGGCTAAGGCTGCGCTTCGTCGGAACTCCATGATGCGTCGGCCACGTGAAAAAAGCTGCTGTTTCCCGAACGTGGCGAGGAGACCGGAAAGACTTGTTGGTCCAAGCAGCGCTCTTCTGGTCTACAAGGAGATTTCGTTTCGCCTGTGTCGAGGTAGGAGTTTCAGAGAGAGTGGAGTGGGCGTAGGGTAAAACGGCGTTTAGGGTTGTTGCAGCTCGTTTGGACGCTGGGAGATGGGAGCAAACCGTTGTTGCAAGCCGTGGTCGGGGCTACAGCTGGTGGAGAACGCTCGAGAAATTTTGAGTAGCGACAATCTACTGCTGAAGTAAAGCCTTCTTGATGCTGTTGTTGTTCCTTTGGTGCGCTGGTCAACTGTTCCAAAAAACACGCTCTGATGTGCAGACATGGTCTCAACATGCTAAAATACTGCTGTCCACGCCATGGTCTAATAGTCCAGACCCTACATGTTAGGAGCCACGTCCGCGGCGGATGAATGGCCGCAAAAACGTCGCTCTCATTGTCAACCAAAGGCACCGCCTACCGCCCGGCGTTGACCGTTCAAGTTCCGCTGACTTGAGCATCACAAGACCAACTACGGTTGATCACACAGTACACGAGCCTCCTCCTCGGCACAGGACGCTACAAGTAAACATGCCGAGTCATGCCGCACTCACCAGACCCCAGGAAAGCGCCTCTATGCTGCTGTACTGCTGTAGAACAATGTGTGCGAGCCTTGAGAACGGTGAGGCTTGAGATGGGTAGCCGAGTGGTGTGTGTTGGGGGGTGGGAGATGTAGTGGGAACCTTGTGCGCAGCAGGCTGTGGGACGTCGCGCAATCTCGCAGCAGCGATGTTTCCCGGAAGTTGTGGTCTCGCATTTTCGACGATGTGGAGATGGGGGAAGCGTTCGGGCGGTTGCGCGCAGGGCGACAAATGTGTTCTCGGAAGGATCAATGGGTATCCACCCGTGGACATACCTACATACGGAGTACATACCTCGCGGCGTCTCCGCCGCCTGCCAGCCTCCAGCCAGACCATGTTTCTGCACCACTACGCCATCACCGCTTTCCTTTCCTGATGGACCACCTGTTTAGTCCTGCACATGGATACTCAAGAGGCGTCGTCTCTCCATCTTTCCGTGTGTTCGCCAATCCCATGTGACAGCAGGCTCAAACATTTTGGGTCGCTCCACGTCTCCTCTCACATCTCGAAATCTACGACATCTCCGCTGTCGTCATCCGTTGAGACGTAGAATGGACGGACCACCGAATATATTCGGAAGTAGTGCCACAGACAGATTTCGCAAGGTTGATCGACCGATAGCTACTGTTGGCACGGGCTCCCACACAATCTTATATATGAATTCACTGTTATAAAAGTGAATATTTGACTGTTATAAAAGTGAATGGACTGTTATAACAGTCATCGATATTTCACTGTTATGACCGTCATTTCACTCACTTTCATAAGAATCAGCTGACTCTTATGAAAGTGAGGAGTCATTTCACACACTGTTATAACAGTCAGCTGACTCTTATGAAAGTGGGTCCACATTACTAACAGTCAGTTTGGGGACTTTTATAAAAGTGAAACGACTGTCGTGCAAGTCACCTTCAACAGCTAGGCGGTAAAAATGACTTTGATTTTGGAGCAGTTCTGCAGCTCTCATCAAGAAACGGAACGATGGGACGAGCACATACTTGCCAAAGCGCATCATTGCATCATAGAAATATGCAACTTCAGGTACACGTTCCCGGCGCATGGCGTGACGAAGGTAATTGCGATATGGCGATCCTCGGGCAGGAAAGCCCGTACGTGTACTGGAGTGCACCGCATACATAAGACGAACCCCCTGTGCAGCCAGAACGATTCTCACGTGTGTGTACGGCTGTTTCACCTAGCTTCGTACATACCGCCAGCAAGACGTAAAGGGATAAAGGCACAGTACACCCGCCGACAACACCTTTGATACCACCGCGGGCCTTCCTCCGACGACGCAAATGAACCCCACGGCAGATGAACAACCTCGACTACTTTGGGTGTGCGCGTTGATGGAAATGCTAACTACGCCCCCACACGTCATTCTCCATTCTCGCTTCCGCGAAAGATGTGCCATCTTCATGCACGCATTATTCTAACCCACAGTACGCGACAAATGTCTCACTTTTATCGTCGGCGCTTGTTCCATTTTCATGCACGGGTTTAGAGGACCTTGAACTTTTCAAAATAGAGAAATTGCTGTTGCGAAAGCGTATCGAAGAGTTAAGTAGCATGGCCTCGCAAATGTATATTGCGTATGTTCGGGCCGACGTACCCCCCTGGTTCACTTGTTTGAAAAACATTTGCACGCTGTGCGCGACGCTACTCTGTCGCAGCTTGCCGAAATTTGTTTGCTCCAGGCCCAACTCAAGGCGGTCGAGCACGCGGCCGAGATCAGTCGACTAGAGCGCGCAGTGGCCGGCGGTGGAGATGGCCTCTCTGCCAACGACAATCACCACCACGCCGCCTCCACGGGGGAGCCGTCGGCTGGAGACGCCCAGGGTGCAAGCGGTGAGAGACTAGGTCTTCAATATAGATGGGCCGCCATCCTCGGTTCCCTAGAACACTGCGCTTCGCTAATCATTACATGGTGGTTCGTTTACTCGCCGTGTGACATGAGCAGTATCCAGATCCACCGCGTTTGTTTGTTTTCTAAGTCATTGGGAAACCTCGCTTGGGGCACCGGCGTCGGTGTGGGCCCCGGCCCTGCATGTGCTCCCGCCATGTTTGGTCCACCGATTGTAACAGCCGTCCCTTTTGATGGGTTTCGTTTGGTTGGTTGCGTGGGAATGTTAGGGTCGGTAGGTGTCGAACCTTTACCTTTATATGTTTTCGTGCGGTCAGGCGTTGACTTTGCGTCGGAAGGACAGCTATAGTCATGACACTAGACACCTTAAATCACTTGACCAGACCACATTTCCCACTGCTTGCGATTGCCCTTCTTGTCGGCTTTGAGACCTTTATAATAGTATTAATGTACATAACAATAGACTTATGCGCCAATCCTTACCTCCATATTGGCCTCCAACTTGCATTGATTCTCCAACTTGCAGGGGCAGACGCCAATATGGAGGAGGAGTGCCGCGGCGAGGGCGGCGGCGGCGACGACGACGACGACGACGACGACCCCCACCGCGCAAGTTTACCTCCAGTGTTTCCGCGTTGAGGAAAGACGGCGGCAGCAGGATGACCTACGGCAAGGTGTCGATCGAGAGCATGCGGTGCTGGAAGGAGTGCTACGACGATCTTCAAGGAACCCGCACTGCTGGTCGTGCCCAGCTCACCGCGATTATGGACGGCTCTACGTCGAGGAAGAAGGGGGCAGATGGTCAGAAGGTCACGACGAAGGTTACTGCCCCGTTGGTTCCCGGCTGCACCATGTCGACCGCCGGAAGGTGAGCAACGGGTTGGGCGAATATGTTGTTGGGATATCACCTTGTGGTAGGTGTATCCCTGGGTGTGGCAAGCACTGTGTAGAGACAGTGTGCAAAGGCTCACAGAGTGACTGTTAAGTACACTTGTTGAAAGACCAGATTGATGGTTGAAAGTGGCGCTTAGTTGGCGAAAAGGTAAGGAGAGAGGAAAGAGAGAGGAGTGATCGAGTGGGGGCGAGCACCACGGGGGGCGAGCGTCCAAGCTATCACGGAAAGATGCACACACACGGGACAATGCAATATCCCGGTCACGCTAGCAGGCGGTTAATCCGACCTCTAGGAACAACGCAAGAATATTCTAACGGACAATGGTCTCTCCCGAATGGTCCGATAATTCTCCTGAG